GTGCACTGGGAGCCAAGGAGGTTTTAAGCAGAGGAGTAACATAATTGAATTGACATTTTTAAAACATGAGGCTGACTGTTGTGTGGAGACCAGATAGTGTGGGGGCAACAGATGGTACAGAGAGACCACTGTCAAGGCTAATACAGTGGTCCAGGTGAGAACTGCTGGGGCCTGGATGAGGGAGGCGGCAATAAACATGAAGAGAGCCGTTCAAGGGATATTTTTGAGGTAGAATTGACAGGATTTGCTGATAATTTAAATACTGAACCTCTTTGTCTTACTGTTTAGGAAGAGAAGGCACAAAGAAGCCAAGGTTATAGGGAATCATTTTTGTACCATCACTGATCCCTGATTTCCTAACCCCTGGTCTCATGGTCTTCCTCTGCATCTAGTCTGTCTTTCAGAGTCTTCAGCAGTTCTCACTACCCTTGTGTCTTTTCCCATATGGAATCATTCACCAAATCTAGCCCCATCATTTTCTGACCTCCCTAAACTCCCACCTATGCTTGCCATGCCCAGTCTGCTCTGGATTATTCTGACTGCCTTCTGGCTGGCCTCACTGCCTCCTGCCAGCCTTGCAGTGCAGGTCATTTTTCATGGCTTCACTTCAACTGTGTCTAATAACTCTCCAGCAACTCCCTACTCATTCAAATGAAAATCCAGACTTTGGGCAGTGGCTTCACAGTGCTTTCCCAACTAGCTCCACCCAACCCTTCCTGTTTGCTCTTGTCTCCAACTAGAACCCAGCCTACACCTTCAATTTTAGCCTCTTTGTGGCTACCCCTCCCACCTCTGAAGTTTTAGGCCAGCTGCTTTGTGTATGTGAAATTTGGTCCCTTTTGTTCTTCCTCGACTAGCATAGTCAGATATTTTTCTGGAATCTTTTCAATCATTCGGCCTTTATTTCACAAAATAAGAATTAAATGCCTCCTTTGGGCTGGGCACTACTAGCTACTAGGGTTGAAGAAATGAATAGGAGATTAACCTGCCCTCAAGGAGGTTACTGTCTGATGGGGGAGACAGATAATCAAATTATCACAGTGCATTGTATTAAGTAGAAGAGGAGCTGTAGATATAGAATGCTGGAGGTACAGATAGGAAGTAGCAACAAACACTATTGAGGGAAATGGAAAAGGCTTCACAGAGAAAATGACATCTGAATGGACTAGAAGGGTGTATAAGTACTTTTCCAGTTGGAGAATTTCAGTAAGATGATTCCTAGAAGAAGGAACCTGTTGTTACGTGATGATTATAATAACAGCTATCATGTATTGGTTTTCAGGTGCCTGTGCACTTGTGATAAAGCGGAATATGCTTGGATTACAGTAAAAGATTCAGTATAGCTAGAGTAGAAAGTGCATAGAAAGGCATACTGGAAAATGAGGCTAGAGGGAGAGGTTGGGACAAGATTCTACAAGCAGTAGGAGCCAGTAGAGGTTCTGTTGTTTTTTTTTAATTGATTGATTTCAGTGAGAGAGGAAGTGGGAGAGAGAGCGATAGAGAGACAGAGACAGAGAGAGAAACAGAAACATCGACCTGCTGCCTCCCATACACCCTCCAACAGGGGATCAAACCCATAGCCTAGGCATGTGCCCTGACCGGGAACTGAACTGGCAACCTTTCAGTTCATGGAACAATATCAGTAGAGGTTTTTAAAAGAGGGAGTGACATGATCAGTTTGGGCACTGTGGCAGCTGCAGTGAAGTTGGTAGACAGGTTATTGAACCATGCAGGAAATTACAGTGGTCGCATGAGAGATGAGAGCTTGAACCAAAGGGAAGGCAGAGGGAGCAGAGAAAAGGACATATGTAAAGTAAAACTGACAGGGTTGGGGAAAGCAGAATCAGGCGATAACTCCAAGATTTCTAATGGGATACCATTAATTGGGACAGGGAATAGAAGAGTAGGAAAGAACAGAAGGTCATGAGTTTATTTTAGGGCAATTTCCATTTGAGCCATTAATATACAAGAAGAAAGGTCCAGGAAACAAATGAATGTGAAAGTGTGGTGCTCAGAAGTAAGTCAGCTCACCTCTCACAGCATCTATAAATTCATCCATTCTCTAATAGCTAGCTCTCCACCTATGTATTATGAATGTTATGCTAATCATACACTTGTCTCCCCTAAAAATCAGGGTCTTCCTCAACATCCACATTAAGTCCTTGTAGTGGCCTATAAGGCCCTACATGATCTGGCCTCTTTCACTTTTCTGACCTCATTTACTACTAGTCTGTCCACCACACTGGCCTACTTACTGTTCTTGGAAAGTACCAGCACACTCCAACTTTACTATTTTGCACTTGGTATTCCCTCTGCTTAGATGCTTTCCCCTCTATGTTCACATAACTCCTTCACCTCTTTCAAGTCTTTGCTCAGTTGCCACTTTTGCAATGAGACTTATCCTGACCACCATATTTAATACTGCAACTGCAATCACCCTTTTTCTATTTTCCTTGCCCACAGCACTAATCATCTAACATGCTGTATAATTTACTTTATTATGTTTATTGTTTAACAACTCTGTCCCTCCTCTGGAACATAAGCTTCTTGAGGAAAGGAATTTTTCTCACTTTATATACTAATGTATGTCAGGCACTTAAAAGAGTCTTTCAAACATGATAAGCACTCATTATATATCCATATTTGTCATATAAATGAATGAGAATATAGGTTCCTGCATCATTCTTCCTCCTAAAATTTTCTGTTTGCCATGTACCCTTGTACCCTCAGAGCCAAACAGAAATATAGGAAGGGAAAATAGGAGATAAAAGAATAACTTAGTGCCATTGGTCAGAGCCAGCCACACATTTCTGTATATTAAAACAACGTCTTTCTTAACTGTCCCCTTTCATAGTTTTTATTGCTACTGTAACAAATTACCCCCAAGTTAGTGGCTTAAAGCAACACACATTTATTCCCTTACAGTTATGACTATCAAAAGTCTAAAATGGGTCATAGGACTACATTCCTTCTGGAGGCTCTAGGGAAGAATCTGTTTCCTTCCTTTTCCAGCTTCTACAGGCCCCCTGCATTCCTTGGCTCATGGCCCCTTCTTTCATCTTCAAAGTGCGTCACTCCAACCTCTACGTCTGTCACCATATCACGTATGCCTTTTATCTCCCCTGCTACCCTTATGAGAAACCTTGTGATTACATTGAACCCACCCATAGAATTCAGGGTAATCTCCTCATCTCAAGATCCTTAACTTAAAAACATATCTGCAAAGTTCCTTTTGCTACGTAAGGTGGCATATTCACAGGTTCTGGGGATTAGGACTTGGACATCATCAGGAAGCATACTGACTAAAGACGCAGATTAACAAGAATTTGTTGAACGATGTGCCCTAGTTCTGAAGCCACCATACACCTTGGGAACATATATAGATTCAAATATGCTAGAGTAACACTATCCGATAAGACATTCTGTGATGATGGGAATATTCTTTATCTGTGCTGTCCAATACAGTAGCCACTGGGCAATGTAGTTCTTGAGCCCTGGCAAATGTGACCAGTGACACTGAGGAACTGAAATTTTTATTTTTAAAATTATTTTATTTATTCTAAATTTAAATTAAAGAACCACATGTGGCTAGTAATTACTGTATTGGACAGCACAGGCCTAGAATTGGGGCAAAGGGGCAGGCACTAAGGAAAACTTTTTGTCTTACTCTTAGCCTTGGATGAAATTAAAAACAAAAACAAAATATCTCCCTAAGATTCTGTGGTACCTGGGTTTGGTGCCTGAATATGTATTATGCGAATGGCTCAAAAAGCCACAAGCCAAGAATTTTAATTTAAAATAGACCTAGGGGCGTGATGCCTCAAGCAACTGGGATAATCAAATGGAAATCTTCCAGGGGAGCATGTAACCTCATTCCCAGGTTTGACGGAAATCCCAGACTTCTGACAAACATTACTTCACAATCAAAAGTCACAGTTTATGCAAGAAAACCAATTACCAACAGGGAGACAACAGGAAAAAACATAACCAGATCCACAACAATTTTGGATATTGAAAGTATCATATGCAGCATATAAAATAGATATAGTTTTTACTTAAAGAAAAGAAAAGAGTATAGAGCAAAGAGCAAGAGATCTAAAAAATGATGTTATGCTTTGCTCTGGTCATCTTGCTCAGTTGGTTTGAGCATTGTCCTATGCAACAGAGGGTTGAGGGTTTGATCCCTGGTCCGGGCACTTATGGGAGGCAACTGATCGATATTTTTCTCCCACATTGATGTTTCTCTCAATCTCATTCTTTCTCACACATCAGTTGTTTTTTTTTTATTTTTCCCTTCATCTCTCTCCAAAATCAATAAACATATCCTTGAGGGAGGATTTAAAAAATTACCTGCTAGGTTTCAAAACACTAAATAAAATATGTATAAATGAGAAATAAAATAATTGACATTAAAACCCTCAATGAACTTTAATTCATCCGTTGGAAAATAGGTCTGAAAAACCACACAAAATACAGCATAGAGATATAAAGAAATGGAAAATATGAGTGGTTAAGATGTATAGGGCCATTTAGAGCATTTTATGAACTTTAGTTTTAACTATGAGAAAAAAAAAATGGAAGCCATTATAGAGTTTTGAGCAGAGTAGAGATATAACCTGACTTACATTAAATGTGATCCCTCTGGCCATGTTAGAATAGTCTTTAGGAGGGCACAAGTGGAAGCTGGAAAACCAGTTGGTGCTATTTCAAAAATCCATGTAGAAGATGAAGGTGGGTCAAAGACTTACAGGATGGTGGCATATGAAGCTCTGTAGACCCACTGCACAGCAAAACAATACAACTGGTAATGAGTATTTTTAAAAACCCAATAAACCAATCAAAGTCTCTGGATGTTTTTATAAGGGCATACAGTAAATGGAGAAACATTCATTCAACAAAATCTGCTAAATTTCAAACATAACAGTAAGAAGAGTCTCTGGCATCTGGAGCATGACTCACTCTCTTACCATAACTACCCCTCCCCAAATTCTGCTTTTCAGAATCTTACCCCAAACTCACTACTCTGGGCAGAGGCAACCAAGAAGATGGAGGCTCCTTCTTCTCCCAGCAGTTCCCAGTCTCAGGCTGTGTTTTCACCTAAGGAAGGGCAGGCTGCTGGAATTTCTCATCCCTCCCAGCTCTGTGTTGCAGAAGCTCAATTCCAAGCAGGCATGGCCAAGAAGACCAGGCCTGTTTACTTCCACCATGCATGCACTTTATAGGGCAGAATATCTACCCTAAGCCCAGAAGGCTGAGAATAGTGAGGCCCTGGTCACTCCTAGCCCAGCTCACTCATAGGACACACGTTCCATACCAGGCAGGGCAGTCCAAGAAGACAAGGGGCTGCTACCACCTTGCAGGGCTCACTGAGGCAGGGTAGCTCCGGGGAGAAAACCCAGTTGCTCCCCGGAGCTACAGAGCAGTGACAAGGATATTTTGTTGAGAGGAGAAAGGTCAACCATAAAAACAAAGGACTCCCAGCTCTGCCTGAAGGGAGTGACTTTATTTGGAATAAGGAGTGGATAATTCCATGCCTAAGGGCACAATAAACAAAAAAAAATTTAAATTTTGATGGGGAAGCGTTAAGAGACTGATAGCTCCATGATACAAGTGAAGCAGCATGGCCATAAGAACTTTAACAGAGCAGAGAGACAGCAAAGAAGAGGCCTCCTGGTATTACAGTCTACTCTGGAAGGTAAAAAAAGTTGTGTACATGTGCTAGGCTGTTCCCACTCAGGAACAATCAAAGTAGGTCATGGGGCAGACTTAAAAGCATTCCCTTAGCTGCACACAGACCCATCAACACAGGGCAAAAGCTTTACCATCACAAGTGGCTTTAAAATACAACTTTTGACTAAACACTGACTGCACAATAAGCTACCGTGACCCAGGGGTGACTCCTAGGAATCCAGGCTTAAAAAAATAACATCACACTCATCCCTGGTAATCTGGAAGACTACCCAAAAGCTGTGACCTCTCAGGAGCCATCAGGGAGGAAACCTCTAAACTGCTACTCTGTGGTCAAAGAAGAAGCAAAAATTATAAACTCCCGGAACTATGATAACAGCCTCCAAACCACAAACATATCCAATAATAAAGGTTAAAAAATATGACTAGCTTAGAAGGCCTTAAGCACAACCTTGACAATAAGTGGCTTGTGCCAACCCAAGTGTAACCCCTAGGTAGACAAGCTAAAAGATAAAAACAAGGGGAAGAATCTGAACAGGGACATCAGAAGCTTCACACTGTAGGGAGGGTAGACTCCCCAAAGTTCACTCAAGTTATTCAAATAACCAAGCAATTCAACACCACCACCCTTGGCCTGGTGTGGGGAATTAGTATCCCAGAGTATTATCAAAATTGTTCAGGTTTCAACATAAAATATGAATTATGCAAAAAAAAAAAACAGAAAAGTGTGACCCATACACAGAAAAAAAGGACAAGAAAAAGAAAATGTCTTTGAAGAGACTCAGATGGAGGACTAAGTAGACAAAAATTTCAAAGCAGTTGTATGTAGACTCAAAGAACTGAAGGTAACTATACTTAAAGAAGTAAAGGAAGGTATGATGGCAGTATCTCAAAAAATATAGATTATCAACAAATAGATGGAAATTATAAATTATATAAAATAACCAAATGGATATTCTGGAGTGAAAAAGTATAATAATAAATTAAATATTTGCTACAGAGGGATCTTCAGTAGATATGAGTTGACAGAAGAGATTATGCAATATGAGGAACAGAGAGAAAAAAATGAAGATGAACAAAGAGTCAGAGAAATACAGGACATAAGTGCATCAAGATATGCATAATGGGGATGCTACAAAAAGAGAAGAACACAAAAAGTACAGAAAGAGATACTCAAAGAAATAATTGCTGAAAACCTCTCATATTTGATGAGAAGCATTAATCTGCACACTCAAGAAATTCTAAGTAAGGTAAATACAGAGATTATACCCAGAGACATCTTATTAAAATGTTGATAGACAAAACTTAGAAAGTAGGAAGAGAAAAAAGGCTCATCACATACAATGGAACCCCAATAAACCCCAATAAAATTAACAGCTGACTTCCCATCAGAAACAATGGAGTTAGGAAAATATAGTCAAACTAATGAAAGTTAAAAAAAAATCCAGAATCATATATCTAGCAAAAATGAAGGTGAAATAACGACAATTCCAGGTGGAAAAAAATGAGAGACTTTATTTCTAGTATACCTTTCATAAAACAAATACTAAGTGAAGTTCTTCAGGCTGGAAGCAAATGGATGTCAGACAGTAATCTGAACCACATGAAGAAAAAAACACTGGTGTGGTAATTAAAGCACAATGTAATTGCATATTTTTCCCCTCTCCTCTCTTAACTGATTTAAAAAGCAATTGCATAAAACAATATGAGTGTGATTGTATTGTTAGGACTATAATATATAGAAATACACTATATTTAGCAATAACAGCACAAAGGAGTAGAATTGTAACAAAGTATTGGAATAAATAAAAGATGGTAGATAGTAACTTAAATCCACAGAAAGTAAAAGTACCGGAAGAGTAAAAAATATAATAAAACAAATACTGTAAATATATATTTGTTCTCCTTTCTTTTATCAGACCTTTTGAAAGACATAAAATTATATAAAGTAATAATTAAAACAATGTATTGTTGGATTTGTTATATATATGCGCATGTATAACAATATTATCAAAAGATGGGGAGGCAATTAAGCTATATAAACTGTCTATATTTCACTGGAACTAAGTCAGTATAAATCTGAAGTATATTCTGCATACTAAGATGTATATTATGAGCCCTAGAGAATCTACTAAATAAGTAAAAAATAATTTTAAAATCATGAAAAGAATTAAAACACATAAGAAAATATCCAGCTAATACAAAAAAGGTAACAAAAAAGAGACAACATGGAGAAAGCAAAAGGCAAAATGCCCAAGTAAATCCAAACATAAAATGTGAATGAGTTAACCAATCTAATCAAAGGACATATCGTCAGACTGAATTTTTAAATAGACAAGATTTAATAATATGCTATCTACAGGAGGCACACTTTTCATTCAAAGACACAAACAGATTAAAAGTAAGAAAATGGAAAATGATACACTGGCATACATCAGAGAGGTATGTAGGTTTGGTTCCAGACCAATGTAATAAAGCAAATATGACAGTAAAGTGTGTGTCACATAGTTTTTTTTAGTTTCCCAGGGTATAGGAAAGTTATATTTACACTATACTATAATCTACTAAGTGTGCCATAGCATATGTCTAAAAAACAATGCACATACCTCAATTAAAAATACTTTGTTGCTAGAAATTGCTAACCACCATCTGAGCCATCAGTATGTCATTATCTTTTTGCTGGTGGAGGGGCTTACCTTCAATTTGTAAAAAATGCAGTATCTGAGAAGCACAATAAAGTGAAACACAATAAAACTGAAGTATGCCTGTACCGTGCAAACAACAACCACAAAAAAGCTGTAGTGGCTAAACTAGTATTAAAAAATAGGCTTTATAACAAAAAATATTACTAGAGATGAAGAGGGATATTTCATAATGATAAAAGGGTCAATCTGTCAGAGAGATACAACAACTGTAAGCGTATATACACCTAACAACAGACCCCAAAATACATGAAGCAATAATTGACAGAATGGACAGGGTAGAAAGGAGAAAGAAATACACAATAATAATTTGATAATTCAATACCCATCTCCAATAATGATTAGAACAACTAGACAGAATATCAAGGGAGTAGAAGACTTGAACAAAACTAAACTAGACCTGACATACATCTTTGGAACACTCCAGTGAAAAACAGAATATACATTCTTCTCACTTGAACATGGGACAATCTCTGGAATAGACCATTGTCTAGTCCATAAAGCATAGAAGAAATAAAATCATACAAAATATGTTTTCTGACCGCAATGAAAAGAAAGTGGAAATCAATAACATAGGAAAATTTGAGAAATTCACAAATATGTAGAGATTAAACACACACATCTAAATAAACAATGGGTCAAAAAAGAAGTCATAAGGGAAATTAGAAAATACTTTGAGACGAATGAAAATAAAGAAACAACATACCAAAATTTATGGGATGCAGCTAAAGCAATGCTCAGAGGGAAATTTGTAGCTATAAATGCCTATGTTAAAAAGAAAAATCTCAAATCAATAACCTAACCTTTCATTTATGGAACCCAAAAAATAAGAGTAAACTAAACCCAAAGCAAATAGAAGGAAAGAAATAACAAAGATTAGAATAGGAATAAATGACATAGAGATTAGAAAAAATAGATTAACTTTTCCATCAATGAAACCAAAAGTTGCTCTTTATTTATTTTTATTTTTTATTGTTGTTCAACCACAGTTGTCTCCAGTTTCCTCCCACCACCCTCTCCTGCCCCACCCACTCCTACCTCCCACCCTCAATTCTGCCCCCCTTTGGTTTTGTCCATGGGTCCTTTATACCTGTTCCTTGACCACCCTTCCCCTTCTTCCCTATCCTTGTTATCCTCCTCCCCCCTCCCCTCTGGTTACTGTCAGTTTGTTCTCTATTTCAATGTCTCTGGTTGTGTTTTGCTTGCTTGTTTATTTTGACGATTAGGTTCCACTAATAGGTGAGATCATATGGTATTTGTCTTTCACCACCTGGCTTTTTTCACTTAGCATAATGCTCTCCAGTTCCATCCATGCTGTCATGAAGGATAGGAGCTCTTTCTTTCTTTCTGCTGTGCAGTATTCCATTGTGTAAGTGTACCATAGCTTTTTGATCCATTCACTTACTGATGGGCACTTAGGTTGCTTCCAGTACTTGGCTATTGTAAATTGTGTTGCTATGAACATTGAGGTACATAGGTTCTACCCTATAGACTCCACCAAAAAACTACTTGACCTAATAAATAACTTTGGCAAAACAGTGGGATAAAAAGTCAATATTCAGAAATCGAAGTCATTTTTGTACACCAACAATGAAATATCAGAAGCAGAAATTAGGGGAAAAAAGTCCCACTTGCTATAGCAACAAGAAAAATAAAGTACCCAGGAGTAAACCTAACCAAGGAGGTAAAAGACCTGTACTCAGAAAACCACACAACACTGAAGAAAGAAATTAAGGAAGACACAAATAAGTGGAAGCATATACCATGTTCACGGGTTGGAAGAATTAACATCACAATGTCCATACTACCCAAAGCAATCTATAGATTCAATGCAGTTCCTATTAATATACCAATGACATATTTCACAAATATAGAGCAAACATTTAAAAAATGTGTATGTTCTTTGAAAATATCAATAAAATTGATGAACTTTTAGCTAGATAGACTAAGAAAAAACAACAGCAACAAAACTCAAATTACTAAAATCAGAAATGAAAATGGAGGCATTACTACCAAATATACAGAAATATGTAGGATTATATTACAACTCAACAGTGAAAAAAGAACCCAAGCAATCTGGTTTTTCTAAATGAGCAGAGGACCTGAAAAGACACTTCTCCAAAGAGGACATACAGATGGCCTATAGATACATGAAAAAATGCTGGACGTCATTAGTCTTCAGAGAATTTCAAATTAAAACCACAATGCGTCCTGACTGGTGTGGCTAAGTGGGTTGAGCGTCATCCAAAAACCAAAAGGTCGCTGGTTTGATTCCCAGTCAGAGCACATGCCTGGGTTGTGGGCCAAGTTCCTGGTTCAGGGCATGCGGGTGGCAACCTATTGATGTTTCTCTCACGTCAATGTTTCTCTCTCCTTCTTTTTCCTTCCCTTTCCCTCCCTCTAAATATAAATAAATAAAATCTTTTTTAAAAACTACAATAAGAAAAATTAAAACTACAATGAGACATCACATCACACCTGTCAGAATGACTATCATTGATAAATCAACAAGTTGTTGGCCAGGATGTAGAGAAAAGGGAACCCTTGTACACTGTTGGTGGGAATGTAAATTGGTGCAATCACTGTAGAAAACAGTATAGGGGTTCCTCAAAAAATTAAGACTAGAACTACCATATGATCCAGAATTCTACTTCTGGGTATTTTTCTGAAGGAAAAAAAAAAAACTAATTAAAAAAGATGTATACCCCCTGTGTTCATTGTAGCATTATTTACAATAGTCAAGATATGGAAACAACCTAAGTATCCATTGGTGGATAAATGGCTAAAGATATGAGGTACACAATGGAATAATACTGAACCATAAAAAAATGAAATTCTGCCATTTGCAACAATATGAATGGACCTTGAGAGCATTATGCTAAGTGAGATAAGTCATAAAGAGAAAGACAAATATCATGTGATCTCACTTATATGTGAAATCTAAATAAAAATAAACAAAACAAGTTCATCGATGCAAAGAATAGATTGGCAACAGCCAGAGGAGGGGTGTCGGGTATAGGCGAGATAGGTGAAGGCAGTTAAAAGGTACAGACTTGTAGTTATAAAATAAATAAGTCATGAGATGTAATGTACAGCATGACGATTATAGTTAATAATACTGTTTTCCATATTTGAAAGTTGCTGAGAGAGTAGATCTTAAAAGTTCTCAACACCAGAAATAAATTGTAACTATGTAAAAATCAAAGGATTGTAAGAGGAATGCTATAAACAGTTGTAAGCCAACAAATTTCATAACCTAGATGAAATGTGAAAATTCCTAAAAAGGCACAAACTACTAAAACTCAAGACTCAAGAAGAAATAGAAAATCTGCATAGACCTATAGCAATGAAAGAGATTGAATTAGTAATCCAAAATCTGCCACCGAAGAAATGTCCAGGACCAGACGGCTTCACTGGTGTCTTCTATGAAACTTTTAAAGAAGTATCAAAAGTAGTCCTTACTAACTCTTCCAAAAAAATAGAAAAGGGAAGACTTTTGCATCAAAAACCTAAATGTAGGTGCTGAAACTGTAAAATTCAGAAGAAAACGTTGGTGTAAATCATTCTGGTCTTGTATTATGCAATGGTTTCTTATGTATAGCACCAAAAGCATAAACAACAACAAAAAAAATAGATACAACAAAATTAATTTTTTCTGCTACAAGAGATGTCTTCAAGTAAATGGAAAGACAACCCACAGAATGGAAGAAAGTATTTGCAAATTATATATCTGATGTGGGACTTGTACCTAGAATATATAAAGAACTCTTACAACTCAATAATAGAAGACAAATAACAATTTAAAAATAGACAAAGGATCTGAATCAACTTTCCTCCGAAGAAGATAGACAAATGACCAACAAGGACATGAAAAGACATTCAACAACGTTAGTTCTTACAAACCTCAAATTACAACCATGATGAAATACCACTTCACACCCAGTAGGATGGCTACAATCAAAATGACAGATAATAACAAATGGTGACAAAGATGGATGTGGAGAAGTGGAACCCTCATACACTACCAGTGGAAAACAGGCTGGCAGTTCCTCAAAAGTTTAAACCTTATGATTCAGCAATTCCATTTCTAGATATATACCCAATGAAAACATATGCCCATACAAAAACTGGTACACAGA